TGAAAGAAGAATAAGATCTAATTCCTAATTTTATCTTAAAAAATTTAGTTTGTTTGATTAAAAAGAAATGCAAAGAGATAATAAAAAAAAAATAGTGACCATATTAACTATTAAAATTTTTATAAAATAAACTTCAGGTTCTTACCTTTTAAACAAATTATCATTATTATAATTGGTTTGGTGGTTATTAAGTAATTAAGAAATAAAATTTACAAAAAATTATGAGACATACTGTATATCAAATTATATAGTAGAAATTAATTAATAATTTATTTATATCAAATTATATAGTATAAATTAATTCATTATATAATAGAAATTGATTGACGATTTATTTATATTTTTTGTATAAATGTTATATGAGTGACATTATATTGAATAAATATTTTTTAATTAGTGTATAGTATAATATATATTATATTGTCAAATAAATATGTACTTTATATGCTTTTGATAATTTAACCTAAATATAAATAATATAAATTATTTTAAAAATATATATAGTAGCAATTGACAAGTAAATTTGCATATATTTTTAAAATAGTTATTAAAAAATAAAAGTTTAATTTTAAAAGTCATTATTGTATTATTTTTTTTAGTTTATTAATAAATATATAAATTTATTAATTTAATATTATTTTATTTAATTTCATGCCTGTTGTCTCTTCAGAGCAACACTTATTAAAATTTAATTTCATGCTTTAATTGTAAAGATCAAAATAATATATATTAGTTTATTACTTCGTTATATTGAACTTTTATGTAAGTTTCAACTTTGATTAATTTTAAAACAATACCTTTTATTATATATTGTATACTAAAGATTTTTAGCTCTGATAATTTTTTTTTTATGATAACAATAAAGAATTTTATTATATTTTAAATACACCTAATAATATATTTATTCAATTGCAGATTTTAGAGTTGAAGAAATTGTCATAAAATATATAACCTTCATCAATCATTATATAGTTTCAAGATAACATTGTTGCAAATTAAAATAAAAAATATATATATGCGGTTCGTATGTTTACGGAGAATGGAATTTGTAATTAAAGAAGTTATATTTATTGTACACAGTTAAATGGTGAACTGTGAATTCGAAATTCGAATTCTGCTACTCCATCCGAATATTTCTAACAATTGACTTTGACTTTAAGTTTGATCAGGAATTTTATATTCCATTCTTTTAATGCTAAAAGATTTTATATGGTACATACAGTACTTTATTATAAAATTATTGGGGCGTCATTTGTTGTGGCGAATGGAAGGCGTAATTTTACCGCAAAATTGATCATCGGGCATTGTTCCCGCCTGCCTTCCTAATTCACAGGTTTATAAATAGTTAGTTTGCATAAATTATCGCAACTTTTTCACATAGGCGTGTTTCACGATCAATGAAACGGCCGAATGGAGCATGTCCAATATAACTTTTTTTAAACCTTCTTTAATAATTGTTTTCTTGTGTACAATTTATTGAACAATAAAGTTTATGTGGCGCGTGTACAAAAAAAAAAAAGGAACCAGTTTGAACTCTAACTTTTTTAGGAACTGGTTTTTCAAAAAAAATATGCTCTGGTGCTCACAGCTACCCCACACAATATTAATTATTGCAGATAAGAAACATGACTAAAATACCGTAGATAAGTGATTATCAAGATTGTGATGCAGTTCATTTTTTCCTGTCAAGAGAGTGCGAAGAAATAATTTAATTAAATGTTGAATTTATAAAATTATAATGTTAAGATATCGGTCGCGATAATAGCTTTTATTTATTAATATATATATATATATCTATATATATCTATTTTTTTTTTTTTTTTTTTTTACATATACAATATCTCGAATACATGGAAAGAGAATATGCGGTTTTTAAGGAATCACTTTGAAAAGTATTAATGAAAGCATCGAAGCTTACTCGGTTGATTGCATGTGTTTTCCCATAAGTCTTAATCTTTTATACGCTTATTAGTGCACGCGGCATTTTATGTATATAAAAAAACTCAGCTCAGGCGACTTGTGTAAATCGACGAGAACTTGAAATTCAATTTATTGATATTATAAAAGGGATTTATGCATGATTATGACTAGGATGATATTTTTTTTAAAAAATAAATAAATAAATTGGAAGAAAAAGAAATTTTATCGAGATGAAGATTTCTTGTAGCTTCCTCTTGCGCCACTCATCCACCTCGAAGGCTTCCTTGGAGGCTCTCCTTGCGTAATTATTACTTCCTGTGGTTGAGGTAATGAAGTGACACGTTCTTTGCCTTTTATGGATATTATTTCTGTTGTGGACTTTTTCGTGGATTTGTATTTTATTATGGACATAACGATTCTGTGAGCGATCGCCTCATTGGGATAAAAGAAACTCGATGGGCATTCAAACGACTGTGGTACGATCCACCGTTCGCCCGCCCGCGTTTTTTGTGCACTCTCGGTGACAGAGTAAGAGAATTTGTATGGAACCTTGAGATGAGATGAACCATTTCCAACTCGGTAAACTACTTTCGTTTTTTGACAAATGCTGTTTGGTGTCTTTACCGATAATTTGCAAGATTTCTGCAGCATATTTGTGTTGGTCCCAGATGGGCCAGCCATTGGCGAAGAATTGTTGGTCTCGTCTAAGTGATGATGTTCTTTGCTCGTGTTTAGGAGTACTCGCCAAAGTGTGGGATTATTCAATACGGAGGAATTGAAGAATTTCAAAGGTGTTTCTTGTCTCGGTTTAAACACGAAATTTCCATTTTTTTTGCATATACCGTCGAACACGAAGTCTACATTGAAGTACCATTTATGTTCTTGCTCGAATCCAAGTAGTAGACTGAGGTTCTCATTCTTGAACGCGATGGCGAGATAAATTCTTGCGATTTCCTTAAACAAGTTACACACGTTACTCAGGCTAATAAGTGATGGCACGTCGAATTCCTCAAATATTATATACAATATTTCATTCGGAAGTATGAGGATGGAAACATCTGAAAAGTTTGATTTATTTTTGTGATAAGGCATTGTTTTTTGGTATTCTTTTAGTATCTACTGTATGTTTAGGTCAATATGGGTTGTGGATGTGGATGTATATAATAAATGAGGAAGGTGAATTCTATGCTGTATGTGATCTTGAAAAGATTTTAGTTGTTTTTATTATTCCCCGCTGATATTCATCCGCCTATTTATCCAAAAAATGATGATCGGCGACATACAACATTGTCTTGTTTATACATACCCTTTATGACCTTATTTATTACCTTCCTAATGATGCTGTGTAATTTACTGTGGCTAATTATCAATGTTATCATTAAAGAGCTGGTCACGAATAAATGAGTATTGTAAGCACACGCGTAGATTTCAGTTTTGGTTATCCATTTTGTAGCGGGCATTATTGCTATACGTGGACGGTTCCGCACAAGCAGGTCTGCGCGTTGTGGCTGCATCTTGGTATTATGGGGCCAATAAATTTATGTTCTTGCTTCCCTTATCCACAATCGTCGTTTGTGGAAACATGTTTCCTTTATTAAAGAATAATATAAACCTTTGTTTGTTCACTCATTACTGTATATACTGTACGTTGTACATAACAAAATAGGAATATATAAATACGGAGAAGTTGCACGATTCTTTTTTCAGCGGCCTACGCGATACTAATAAAATTTTTTTTCTTGTTGGATTCGTACAGCATGAGTTAATAGCATATAATTCCAAATTATTGTACACTTTGCAAACAAAAGGAATGATGCAATCATATTCTCTTGCATGCCTGCAATGTTCGTTTATTAAAAGAAGTTGTCAATGGGAATCTTCGACACCATATAGATGACCTTTTTTTTCAATATGTTCGACATAGAATATTCCTATACTCCAAACAAATAATATATTCATATCGAGTATTCTAAATTCGTTATTGAACACGGAGTATCGCATCATATAGTCCGTCAATGGCACACTGTCCGCTCCAAAAAAGGAACTCTGTTGTTTCACCGAAAAACGTCAGTGTTTCACTTATTGTTGCGTGTAACAAAACACGGATTTATACAAATTGCCTTAAAAGTACATGCTACATTGCTACATTATTTGGTTCAATCACTTCGGTGGCGTTAGCAAAGCGATTCTTCGGAATTAAATGAATTGAAAAAGTCAACTACAGTACGTACGGCAAAACAATACGCTTGTGATTCTATGAATAATAATTGCATTGATAAACTCTCGAGAATGGGATCGAAATCGGCTGTTTTTCCAACGTCTGATTGGAGGAAGTCCTTATATGCAGGAATATAAGCAAGCCACGACCAATTCGCGGAAACATGGTGTATTATTTACAATACGTATCAATCTCGTGATGCTTTCTTATAAGAACTTTCCAAATCATTATCGTGGTTCCTGTGACCCTCTGGGAATAAGCGTTATCTTTCAGCCATGTAAAAACATTTGACAGTATGACGCCACACAAGAACCTAATTATTGGTTTGAATATTTAGAGGAGTTAGACACGTCTTGACTTACGATTCAGATAGCATCACAAACTTTTTAGATGTTCAAGTACACATCTGAAGTTTTAAGGCTTTGACAAAAAGTTTGCGTGTGACGCGTGACCAAACCTTACGTTATAAACTGTGCAGGGAGGAAGGGTAAGTTAATTAGATATTCTAATTGCTAGACAAACATGAGGGATCAAGATATATTCTGATTGGTTAGAGATGGGACTGGACAAGGACTGGAATTACGTGAAATGTCGGGAAATTGTTGTACAAACTTGGACTTACGTAAACTGAATGAAAAGCCGAGTCAGTTACGCGAAACTCGGGTTATATCAAACTTTGTTGACTTTGTTGCGAACCTGGTTGCACAAATTTTGATTCACTTACGCGAGACCTAGGTTACACGAATTTTGGTTGTGATTGTTGGGACTTGGAAATGAAGCTGAGTGCATGAAATCTTGCAAAGTCGAAACAGTACTTGGGCCAGATTGACGAAACTTCGAATAAAATACCTAATGTGTATATCAAGCAATATGAAGTGGAAATTTATATGTCTTTTTTTCTTTATAATAATTCATATGGTCATTTCTCTTTTTATTCTGCATTATGATTACAGACTCCTGCCTGCAAAACGGTCAATACATTATATACTGTATAACATTATCATTACCATCTACTGTATATTTAAATTTAGCAGCCTTCGTACCTTATATCGAAATAATTATGTGTGCACAAATATGTTATATACAGTATACATTACCTTCATAGTAAGGAATATATATGCTAATTAAAGAATACATTCGTATATAGAATAATATTCATATACTACGTATAATATACTGTACATTAAACTATTATTAGTTTTACTATACTAAAAACAATTTAAATTAATTGCTATTTAAATATACAGTGTATTTTTTAAGAATACAGAGGCAAAATAGGTATTTAACATATTTAAATTGACTTTGTGTTGTTTGCAAACAAATCAATTGCTTGACATCAATTAAACTTTGACAATTACTACTATAATATTTTATTCATTTATTTATTCATTCAGAAAAAAACCAATTGTTGAAAAAATTAAATAAAAGTTTTAAAATTTTTAAAATTTTTTATTATATTATATATTTCAAATAGTATTATTGATTAAAAAAATTTTTTTTTTCAATAAATAAAAATTCCAAAAATATAGTATATTATGCTATATCAAAACAATAAAATGCTTTTTTCATTTATTTTTGTAATTAAAATTTATTAAAAATTTTAATAATTCATTTTTTTTAGCTACCTATGATCAAGTTTTCACCATGTATTTATTAATCAATATGAAAACTAATAGAGATACATAGGACAATTGCATTATAGCTAAACTAAATCTTGTATTGATTCACTTATCAATGGCTTTCAATTCTCAAATAAGCTTAAGCTTCTATGTGTGACCTTGAGAACAATATTTCACTTTGAAATAAGTTTTGAATAAAAATCCTTCTAACTTATTCATTATTGCTAGCAGGTTGTCACTATCTATTATTCTCCATGAAATTGATTTTGTAAAATTACAATAGGGAAAAGAAAAAATAAAAGAAAAAAAAATATCTAAAAATGCATAAATATGTATACATGAAAAGAAGAATTTGTGAATTTATAGTATAATAATAGTGCTTCCAGATCATAATAACAAAGTTCAGAATTTAATACCATATAATAATTAAGTAAAAATTAAACTATTAGTAGTACAAAGATCTTATCTGCCCTATAATGACAATTTGATATCCCAGTATAGCCATAACAAGAAATAATCTGTTTATTATATTTATAATATAACAAAAATCAGTTTAGTGCATAAGCTGAAGATACAAAATAGGTTCAAATAAGTTAAAACTAAAGTGATATAATATTCTTAATATAAAACTAATTTCTATTTAAGCAGTCAAATTGAATAATAAAGTATTCCAATGTTTAAAAAAAAATACAAAATAGATTTCTATAAAAGGCAAAGATGAATTGCATAAAAAATAATCAAGAATAAATAAAACAGGCTCCAAAAAATATTTATGCTAACAAGAGTCATAAAAATCCTATATAAAAGACCCTCAACACTAGTGATATTAGGTATTTTAGGCAAATTCTTGATACATTAGCTTCCTTATAAGGGATAACAATAAGTTATCTGATAGACTATGGTTAAAAAATATCACTTCAGCTGAGCAAAGTTTAAAACAAGTGAATGATACATTATTAAATTGATAGGTTAAAACATCTTCTGATTCTTTGACTTTATTAAGAATTAAAAAAAAAAGTCCTATACTAAATAATTATATAGTTCCCTTATTTTAGTTGAGTAAGATATAAATAAATACCCCTTATACTATTTATTAATCTATAAATTCTTAAATAATATGGATAATTATTCATTTTGATTGTTCTAGAATTTATCTTAATAATTAATAAAAATGTTGATACTACTGCAGGAATAAGCTAGCTTGTTAAAAAAAAATGTAAAAAAAAAAAAAAAATAACAGTACTTCATGTCCTTCAAAGAATTTCTATTAGAAATCTTCTTTTATTAAAAGTCAATTTTTCTGGAATATTCTTCTTATTTCTGACTATTTAAAGAACTTATCCATTTATGATATTGATTGTTTTTTTGTAATCATTTGATATACTTATCATCTACTTAAATCTAGTATCTTGCTCATTACTTTCTTTTTTTCAATATTAATTTTGTATTAACTGGTACAGATCTTAACAATTTATAGTTAAACTCAAGTTTTTATATAACTTTTTAATTATATTGTATAATTCCTAATATTTTCTAGCAGTCATTTCTAATTAAAGAAATTTTACTAGTATTCATCTTAATTGTAATATCATTATATAATATCTGAAGAAATATATTTTCAATTCTAGAAAAGAGTGATGGCTTACAGTTTTTTACTTTTCAATCTTATTGCCAGACTAGAATAAGAAAATAAACTCTTTTATATACTTTATTTAATTGGGATAATAAGATGGTAAAAACTTTAGTTTGAACAAATAATCATATTTTTATCACCTAGGAAATTTAATACTTGTCCTAATAATCTCATGATTTCTTTACTTTAATTATATTTCATTTGAAGAAGTGAAGGATTTTATATTAATAGTTTCTTTTTCTTTTACTAATAACATTATCAGAATATATAAGTATAGTCAATAAAACCTTGTTTATATCTTGCTACTAATATGTTTTGTGTTAATCAAATAAAAGCCAGGTGACATTGTGTTACTAAAAATTTAGGATCAAGCTAGAATAGGTAAAATTCTTCAAAAAACTATAAAAAAAATTGTAGATATTCTAAGAATGCAAAAGACAGTATATAAAAAAATGGACAATAAGCTTTTTTTTTACCTAGAAAAACTCTATTACCATGTTGTTTTTAGCTCTTCAAGATGATACTCTACAAGTTGGTCCTTTTACTTCCTAGAACTTTCTTGCCTTTAGTAAAGAAAATATATACCTGAGTCTATTTAGGTTACCAAAGACTCAAGTTTTTG